ACCCCATCAAGACATAGTGAAAAAACATCTCAAGCCAAACCCGATGCAGGACTCATGCATAAGCCATACATCCCGATAAGTCTTCAACCAAGACCCATCACATACTCGTCTCCAAGTATAACAACTCATAATGCTCCACCTGCATCACAAGCCCCGGGCAAGCTCCACCTTAAGGCCAACACACCTACACCAGGAGCTCCCCAACTTCGCCCCTCAGGGCCTACTACATCACGTAGTAATCAATATTTAGCAAGTCTAAGCAATGTTTAAACTTGCTCAACGGAACAGGCTTAGTGAAGAAATCAGCCGGGTTGTCAGCAGTCCCAATCTTCTTCACCTTAATCCTCTTGTCAGTACGTAAGAAATGATACCTGACATCAATGTGCTTCGTCCGATCATGGTGTACTTGATCTTTAGCTAAGCAAATCGCACTTAGACTATCACAATACACTGTAGCAAAATCCTGTGCAATACCCAGTTCACCTACTAGGCCTTTGAGCCAAATAGACTCCTTAGCTGCAGAAGTTAAAGCCATATACTCAGCTTCAGTAGTTGACAACGTAACTGATGACTGCAATGTAGACTTCCAACTAACCACAGAACCACCCAAAGTGAACACATAACCAGTCACAGACCTCCTGGTATCCAAAGTGAACACATAACCAGTCACAGACCTCCTGGTATCCACATCAGCTGCATAATCAGAATCACTGTACCCAGTGACCAAGCATTCCTTATCATTCCCGTACACAAGACCAATATCAGCTGTCCCTCTCAGGTAGCGAAAAATCCTTTTCACCCCTTGCCAGTGTTCCCTCCCAGGTCGAGCCATAAACCTGCTTACAACACTAACGGCATGCGCAATATCCGGCCTAGTACAGACCATAGCATACATCAAACAACCAACCGCATTTGCATATGGAACTCTAGACATATAAGACAACTCCTCCTCTGATTGAGGTGACATAGACAAAGACAACTTACAACTAACAGTAGTTGGCGTACTTATAGGCTTCGATTTTTCCATCCCAAAACGAGACAAAATCTTTTCAATGTAGCTTTTCTGAGTCAAGAAAAGCTTACCTCTAGCCCGATCCCTGTAGATCTCCATACCCAAAATCTTCCTAGCTGCACCCAAGTCTTTCATGTCAAACTCCGAGTTAAGCATCTCCTTTAATCTAGCAATATCAGATTTATTCTTTGTGGCAACCAACATGTCATCAACATATAACAAAAGATAAATCATGGAACCATTATCCAGCTTACTATGATACACACAGCAATCATATGAATTCCTGTCAAAACCTTGTGAAACCATAAAAGAATCAAACCTTTTGTACCACTGTCGGGGGGATTGCTTAAGTCCATACAATGACTTTAGCAATCTGCAGGCATAGTGTTCCTTTCCAGGAACTTCGAATCCTTCGGGCTGCTTCATCAGAATCTCCTCCTCCAAATCGCCATGAAGGAAAGCCGTTTTAACATCCAACTGCTCCAGCTCAAGATCAAAATGTGCTACAATTGACAATAACACACGGATAGAAGTATGTCGAACCACAGGTGAGAATATCTCAACAAAATCAACCCCTTCTACCTGACTGAACCCCTTAGCAACTAGCCTAGCCTTAAAACGTATTTGCTCAGTTTCCGACAACCCTTCTTTCTTCTTGTAAATCCATTTACAACCCACAAGCTTCCTCCCTTCCGGTACCTTTACCAGTTCCCACACTCTGTTCTTGTAAAGAGACTGCATCTCTTCACCCATTGCGGCAAGCCATTGCGCAGACTCACTACAACTAATTGCTTGTTTATATGTGGCAGGTTCAAATGACTCTACATCATCAGCTACACTCAATGCATAACCTGTCATCGCATCAACACAGCAATTTCTTCCCTCCATCTCTTCAATCAATCTAACAGGCTTCTTGATAACTCGTTTAGGCATCTCAAGAATGGTGTCAGGTTGACTAGATGACCCCTGATTAGATTGCTCCACCTCATCCCCAGAGTTAGAATGAGTAGGAGTAATCTCAGGTTCAGGAGTACCCGGCACTGGAACATCAGCATCATCATCAATATATTGTACCCGAGGTAAATCAGCAATGGTAGACTGATGTACCTCAAGTACCCCATCTGTCTGTAATAAATTGTCTCCTTCCCTTCTCAAATCTGAAATCTCTGCATTTTTAATTGAATACATGGTGTTTTCATCGAAAGTAACATCCCTACTAAGAATGACCCGACCCTCCGAAGGTGAAAAAATTCTAAACCCCTTCACACCATCCCCGTACCCAACAAAACACCCCTTCTTGGCTCGTGGATCCAGCTTACCCTCAATAACATGATAATAAGCAACACAACCAAAAATCTTCAAATTCGAAAAATTAGGCAACTTACCACTCCAGATCTCAAACGGAATCTTGGAATCAATTCCAGAATGAGGACCCCTATTAATGACATAACAAGCTGTTAACACAGCTTCACTCCAGTACCTCCTCCCAAGCCCTGCATTGGAGAGCATGCATCGGACTCTCTCTAGCAGTGTCTGATTAACCCGTTCTGCTACACCGTTCTGCTGTGGTGTCTTCCTGACAGTATGATGCCGACCTATACCCTCATCTGCACAGAACTGATTAAACTCGTCTTTGCAAAACTCTAGCCCATTGTCCGTTCGTAGCTTCTTGATCTTCCTTCCTTGTCGATTTTCCACCAAAGCTTTCCATTGCTTGAAAACTTTGAAGGCCTCATCCTTTGACTTAAGCAACCTAAGCCATGTGTATCGGGACTTGTCATCAACAAATGACACAAAATAGTGGTAACCTCCCATACCTTCAACTCTAGATGGACCCCAGCAATCTGAATGGATGTAATCGAGCACTGCATCAGTAATGTGAGCACCCTTGCTGAACTTTGACCTGTGTTTCTTACCAAACACACAATGCTCACAAAATTCAAGGTTGGCAACCTTGACCCCGGATAGAAGACCCCTCTTGGACAATAGCTGCATCCCCTTCTCCCCCATATGACCAAGCCTCATGTGCCAAATCTTAGTCATCTCCTGGTGAGATACAGATGCGCAAACCGCAGAACTAGGCAGTGTAACACCCTCAAAAACATAGAGGGTGTTCCTTTTGATACCCTTAAGTACCAACTCAGAACCTCTGAAAATACACAACTCCCCATCTGAAAACACACCATTGTACCCCAATTCATCCAGGGTACCCAATGAAATCAGATTCTTTCCTAAAGCAGGAACATGCCGTACATTAGTCAAAGTTAACCTCCGCCCATCAACAGTCCTCAACCTCATGGAACCAATACCTGTGACCTTACATGGAGCATTGTTACCGACTATAACCATACCCCCATTGCGAGGTTCATATGTATCAAACCAATCTCGACGTGGACACATATGGAACGAACACCCCGAATCTAGAACCCAGTTATCAGATAAATCATCAGACCTAGCAGAACTGACTAATGCTAAATCTTCCTCTGAATTATAGCTCTCATTCGGTTTCTCTTCAACTACAGCAGCCTGGGACTTGTTTTTCCTCACCGGACAATTATTCCTAAAGTGACCCGGTTCTTTACAGTAATAACATGTTTTAGTAGTAGTTTTACTAGATCCATCCTTGCCGTTTCCAGCACCCGACCCAGCATTGTTCCCCTTGTTAAACCCCTTATTCTTTTTAGACTTTCCGGACTTAACAAATAACCCACTACCATTATCCCCATTATCACTCGTAGCTTTCATTCTGAGTTCCCTAGTATGAAGTGCTGCCTTCACTTCTTCTAAGGTTATAGAATCCTTACCAACAACAAAAGACTCTACAAAATTCTCAAAGCTAGACGGTAGAGATACAAGTAAAATCAACGCAGCATCCTCATCATCAATTTTAACATCTAAATTACGTAAATCAAGCAAAATAGAGTTAAGTTTTTCTAGATGTTCCCGTAAGGAAGTACCTGACTGCATCCGGAGGCTAAACAACCGCTGTTTCAGTAATAATTTGTTGGTCAACGACTTAGTCATATACAATGACTCCAGCTTCAGCCACAATCCAGCCGCCGTTTCCTGATCAGCAACCTCCGTGATGATTTGATCATCAAGACTAAGTAATATGGTAGAGTGTGCCTTCTCTTCCATAACTTCTAACTGCGAGTCAGTCGGTCCGTCTCCTGACTCCGAAGTAGTACTCTTTGGAGCCAACGGACGCCATATCTGCTGTTGTTTTAACAGAGCCTTCATCTTAATTTGCCATAGCCCGAAACTATTTTTCCCGGTAAACTTCTCAATTCTTATTGTTGAATCTCCTGCCATTGTTATCTTCAAGAAACTCTCCAAGGATTGAACCTGAGCTCTTGATACCAATTGTTGTGCGACAGCGGAAGCAAAGGTCGAAAACAAACAAGAAAACAATAAAGAAATTCAATGCAAACAATAAGAACAACACCAAGAATTTACGTGGTTCACTATCGATGTGATAGCTACGTCCACGGGCACCGAGATCGAATGATTTCACTATAAACTGCAAAGATTACAAAGATGATTCTTGTATTTCTCAAGAACGGCTCTCACTCTGTCTCTCTTAACCCTAATACTGATATTAGGGAGGTTTTATATTAATCCCTAATTAAAAGATACTTGGGCAAAAAGATAATAAAATAAGATAACCTAAAACCGCAAAATCCGCGTTCCGTATTTTTCCTTCTCCGCCCGGTCAGACCGGGCAAGGTCTGCCCGATCGGGCGCGAGAAGAAAACTCCATACGAATGCTTCAACGTATCCAACCCCCACCGCCCGGTCAGACCGGGCAAGGTCTGCCCGATCGGGCGAAGGCTCGCCCGGTCGGGCGAAGGCTCGCCCGGTCGGGCGCGAGAGCAGCTTCTTCAACGAATTTGCCAGGCACCTCTTCTTCTTCCGCCCGGTCAGACCGGGCAATGTCCGCCCGATCGGGCGGACAAAGCTACGAAGTACGAGTCACCTAATATACTTATCAACACATTAGATGAAGGCTCTCGAGTTGTGGGCACCATGAAATTAGAGTTTCCAAAACCTTTGCCTCGACCCTCATCCCGCTATACAATTTCAGATAAATAAGGTGAGGAAAGCCCTTAAAAGTTGAAGGAAGATCGAGGAGTTTGTAACGAAACAGGGTCAAATCTGTCCAGCCCTTAAAAGCTGGAGGAAGGTAGAGGAACTTGTATCCGGTGAGAGTCAAATGTGTCAAACCCGAACAACTGAACATACATGATGGCAAATTCTTTTGCACATCGGGAGCAAACACGAGAGTGAACTCCTTGACATCATTGGCACAAACACGCCGTATCCACATGTGTGTTTCTCCCTGGAACCAAGCGGGAACATAAAGCACAAACTTAGATATTGGACCAACATGGTTAAGAATTATATTGTTGACTGCATTTGAGTAAATCGATGAGAAATCTGCTGATTCGTATAGTATTCTCCGTTGGATGATTTTACAGAATGACTCATCAAGTATAAGCTGTGGAATGGAAGACCATTGAAACCTCCAATGTTTCGACAATATGCTCGTCTTCACAGCTTCTTGTATTGGTAAATATTTTAGGATTTTTTGTGTTAAATCTAATGGCAAGTTGCTGATTCGATCAACTTCCTTTCCACAAATTCGCTTAATTAACAGGTTGTTTAAGGAATTAAGAATGAACTCCATTTATTAGAGGGATAAACGCTTGGTTAATTCCTATTCTATTCTAAATTTTGAAGTTTTTCATATTTATGTTAAGGGGCTAAAATTATAGGATTGTTTTCTAAAAGATAGAATTTGTAAAGGTTCAATTATTTGAACTTGAACATCTCAAGATATCATCATATCTTTAAGAGAATATTATGTGCTACAGAATTTATACGATGACAATGAAGTATAGATAGTACAAATTTTAATCAAAATAATACTTGTATCATTCATTTTTTTTCAAAAATAAAAATATAAAATAATTATTTTGGATAAAAGATAAATTATTTGATATTAGTGATTATATTTATAAATATATTTTTTCAAAAATAAAAATATAAAATAATTATTTTGGATAAAAGATAAATTATTTGATATTAGTGATTATATTTATAAATATAACGATAGAAGTTCTGCGGCAAATCCAACATAAAAAAGTGAATTGAGTGAAGAAAAGTTTGCCTGCTGTACGCTGAAACAAACAAATCAGTTCACTTACCTACCAAATTAAATTTTCTAGAACGAGCATCTCAACATTTGCCAAGGAACTGATGATCTTGTTCATGCTATTGGGATAAACCAAATAAAGATTCAAGACCGATGATTTTATAGGAGTCATCCCTCCTTTTACACATACGCTATAAAGGTAGCCTATCAGGATGAGATCCTTAAGTTTTGGAGCATGTATTGTCAAATTCGCCGGCTCATAAATTGTTAGATTGAGGCTCTCTAGCTGTGGGCATCTTGAAATAACAGATTCCAACATTTTTGTGTCAATACAATTCTCTATAAAAGTTGGAGGAAGAGAAAGGAGTTTGACTTGGATGAGGGTCAGATGTGTCAAGCCCGAACAACTGAACACACATGTTGGCAAATTCTTTGGCAGACTTGTAGCGAACACCAGAGTGAACGCCTTGACATCATTGGTACAAACAGATCGTATCCACATGAATGTTTCTCCCGGGAACCAAGAGGGAACATAAAGCACGAACTTAGATATCGGACCAACATGACTAAGAAGAATATTCGAGTAAATCAATGAGATATGTGCAGAATCATTTCTTCCCTCTTGGATGCTCTCACAGAATGACTCATCAAGTATAATCTGTGGAATGGAAGCCCATTGAAACCTCCAATGTTGCGACAACACGCTTGTCTTAGCGGCTTCTTTTAGTGGTAAACGTTCTAGGATTTTATGTGTTAAATCTGGTGGCAAGTTGCTGATTCGATCAGCATCCGTTCCACAGCTTCGGTTGTTTATAGAAGCTCTAATGGCAGACATACTATCCAATTGATTTTTGGAATCAAGAATGAAAGTAAGCAAAGAAAACTCAATAATAAACGGAGGTAGTGACTAGTTAGATGTCATCTATATTTTATAGCCTATTGAAGAAGGTAGAAAGACAGGTTTTAGTTTGAAGTTGAAAGGTTTGATGGTATTTTCCAAAAAAATTGTGTTAATGATATTTTAACTAGATAAATAGTCACAGCGTTAGTTTGTCTTGATTCATGTACTAGCCTTGAAAATGTGTGATCAATTAATGGAGAACTCCGTATTAAATTAGAGGATGAATGTTTGGTTGATTACATAGTACAGACTACAGAGTAAGTTTGACTCATATTTGCATCATTCGAAAATTACTACGGAGTAGCCATTGCTAAATACTCCGTATTTTGCAACGTTTAATATTTTATTTCATATGTATAGTACTCCGTATTAAATGGCTTGCTGTAGATTTGACTAATTTTTTTTTGAAGTTGAAGGGACTACAATAATGTATGTATGTTACTTCGTAAATAATAAACACTACTCTCTCTGTCCCTTTATTAAAGTCCCTTATTCCTTTATTGGCAAATCAAAATTAAAGTCTAATTTTTAGAATCTTTTCCTTTTCAGTAAGTGATTTTTTTATCATTTTAACCTCATTTTTCTAATTTAATCCCCAAAATATCCTCAACTACAACTAATATCTTTTGCATTTAATGTATTGTAAATAACAGCATCCGGTTGGTCCTTTTTTTCTCTCCTGCATTGATGTATTCTCTTTTTCTTTTTTCTCACTAATTATTTAATGTAATTTGGACTTTCAATCACATGGTTTAATGGTTTAATGAATCAATAATTATCTTAATTTCCGTGAAATATGAGAAAAGGGACTTTAAAAAAGATATGAAGGGAGTAAGTGAGTACTAATCATCGTCTTTAACATAATCCACTCCTCAATTTACATTGATTCTTTTGATACATGACTTGAAAATGAAAGGCTAAAACTTTTGACATTAGGTTGTCTGGAGGGAACGAGGAAACCCTCAAACCTGGAGATATATTACTTTATTCCTGAGATCGTGGTCGCAATGTTTGTGTAGATTTGACAGAATCTTTTCCTTTGACTCAGTCAGGGCTATATGACTTTATTCCTGGACGGGTTGTAGCTGATGCTGCTCATCGGAAGCGGGTTAAGTATGAAGCTCATTGTTAGACAATTGGATATGGTTTCATTCCCTTCTCATTTTCTTCGCTTGGGGAGTTAGAAAAGGAGACTGTTGCGTTGCTGAAGTGAGTTCAGAGATTCTCGACGACGTAAGACATAGAAGCACGTACTGTAGCTCATATATTTACTAGGGTAGGTTGTATGACTTTTGTTTTTGAAATAATAATAATAATAATAATAATAATAATAATAATAATAATATAATGTTATACATAGCCCTTAGGGCTACATATAAGCATTAAATTTATACTTGAAAATCGTAAAAAGTTAAGAAATCATCAAAATATAAACACTAATAACACTGATTTATGCGTGTTTTTATCATGAATCCCTAATTTTATACAATTTTCAAAAGTATATTTAATGCTTATATATAGCCCTTCGGGCTACATATAACATTACCATAATAATAATAATAATAATGTGCTTTTGAATGTAATATGTTGTACTCCGTATTATATCCATAGCATTTTCCTTTTTTATCTCTCATCTTCTTAAAATTTGTGTCCCCCACCCATGTTCCAATATTAAGATGAGGGAGAAAATATTGAGTACAAACAATTTATTTTTTAGAGATGTCTAAGAGCTTGTTTTCTTCGGCAAATTTTCAATTAAGTTAAATTCAATTCATTTCACTTTCTAAATTCCTTCTCTTATAAACAGTTTATTTCAGTTCAGCTCCAATTAGTTTAGTGCAGTTCAATTCAGTAAATTAGAACAGACCTTAAATATTGTACATGTTAAAATGTCTTTATTCAAGTAAGACAAAATTAGTTTTTAATTAAATTAAGAACTCAATTAAAAACTGAGTACTCCCTCCGTCCCCAAAACTTCGACCCTTTTGGGTTGATTTTACGGTTGTTAAGAAACTTAATAAAACGAAATAAATACATATTGGAAAGATAAATTTACATGGGATTTGTAAAAAAGTAGTGGGATAAAGTATTAAAAATACATGAAACAACAAAATTTATATGAGAAGCTAATTTTGCACAAATATTGTTATAAATTGGTGGGTATTTTAATGCAAATGGGTTGATCATTTTGAAACTAAAATTAGGCCAAAAGGGTCGAAGTTTTGGGGACGGAGGGAGTACAATAATTCTATTTACTCCTTCCCGTTTTGTATTTTTTTTTTCCGTTCGTGTTTTACACGGAATTCAAGGTATAACTTTAACCATTAATATCTTTAGTTTTGTTGATAGTATGTACGGATCAGAGTAATGAACAAGCAACCTATAGAGCATAGACCTCACACAATTAACTAAATCCAAGGTACAAAAGATTAGCAACATTTATTTCAGTAGAGAAGAATGCAGCTACTTGATTAGTTCACAAAAGATTTACAAAATATCATCAGCTAGCCATATTTGCCTACTAGCTAGTAGCAGCACATTTCCAGCCCCAGGTCATATCCAATTGTTACCAAATGTTACCAAAGTGTATCAAAAGATCGAAGGCAGACTTCGAACAAACTAATGTGCATCACGGCCTCACTATACAACCCACACCATTTAAGGTCGATTAGATCCTTCTACAATACAAAACGTCAGAGATGGGACAGATAAAGTCTATATATAAACTTACTTAGCATTGATAATAACTTCTACATTAGTTGAGGCTCTATGATATCGCACAGTCTCCTTGGCAAAATCGAACTTTTCTGCAGCTCCTCCAATTGTCGTACTGAGTTCAATTGCCATTTCCTCCAGCAAAGGAGAGTATGCTAGTAGAAACTTTATAAGCTGTAACTCACCAGTCAGCCCAGAAATACCAAAGAGTTGCACATTTTTGAGGCAAGGAAGGATGCAAGAACCTTCGATCTTATCTGAAGGCGGCTGATCTGAGACTGCATGCAGTTTTGAAGCCTAAATTCATAAAGATAAAATTATACTTCCTCCGTTCTGTTAATATTGCAACATGGAGGAAATTACGCATCCCAAGACACATTTTATATGCTAAATATCTATAATTGTGTAAGAGTAAAAATTATAATAAGTTGATATTGTGAAAGTATTTTATGAGACGAATCCAACAAGATCCCACTTGACTATATTTTGCTTAATGTATAGATCATATTATATGGTCAAACAAGAGTGATGAATAGTACAAAAAGTCCATTGTTGCAAAATTAATAGAACGGAGGAAGTAGATGTTAACAAAGATGTGCGAAACTTGATGCATATGTTGTGGTTACTTAAATTTAATAGGGGAGCTCATAAACAAGAAAACAGAAAAACAGTGAAAACTTACTTTGATGTATAGCTGCTCTAAATGAGGGCAGCTTACAAAGAAGGAAAGAGCAAGAGAGATGGTCCACTGACGATGAAGTGTCATCCCTTCTAGTTTCAGAGTTCGTAGCTGTTCCAATTTGCTTGGAAATTTTTTGGGCGAATCATAGCTTCTAATTCTCTGCAAATTAAACATAACATTATTGAGCAGCTACTAAAGAAATTATTAACAAAAAAAAGTAAATAATTAGTTACGACATTCAACTTTTAAAGGTCACTTTACCCACCCACCAAAAGCGCTCCCTTAGAACAAGCTTCTCAACATTAGTCAAGCAAGTGAAGATCTCACTCATGTGTCTGTTCTGTAGCGACGGTTTATCAAAGTCAACATCCAGGGTTAGTTTGGTTATCACTGTGTCTCCTTTCAGACACAATTCAGAAAGTAGGCCTTCCACATACAGGTCTTCCAAATTTGGAGCACGAATAGATAAATTAACTTGTGGATCAATGATAAGCAGATAGAGGCTTTGAAGCTGTGGACATTTGGAAATAAGAGTTTCCAACACATTAGCATCTATACTAGTGCTAGGAGAATGCACACAGGTTGCTATACTAGTGCTTAGACTAACAAGGCACGGAAAACCCCTAAAATTTGGAGGAAGGGAGATGAGTTTGCATAGTGTCAAATGTGTCAAGCCCACACAAGAGAACAAACTAGCAGGCAAGTTCTTTTCTGGATCTCGATCATACACAAGAGTGAAATCCTGAACACCATTAGCTCGAACATACCTTATCCATTGACATAAGTCTATTTCTTTCGGAAACCAAGAAGGAAGGTAAAGAACAAGCTTAGATATTGGGCCAACATGACTAAAAAGAATATCATTGACAGCTTTTGAGTATGCCAATGAAATGTCGGCTGTTTCTGTTCTATGCTTCAGAATGTTAGAAAAAAATCCCTCATCGAGTATAAGTTGTGAAATCAAGGCCCATTTTTGCCTCCAATGGCTCGATAGGATGCTCATTCTTGCTGCCTCTTGCAGAGGTAAGCATTCTAGGATCTGTTTTGTCACATTTGGAGGCAAATTGCTGATTCTATCCGTAGTAGTTTTGATGCATTTTCTAGCAAACCCAACTGCCAACATGTTGTTGTTGAATCTAAGACATAGACAAGTATAGGAAACTAAGTAAATAAAAATTGGAAGTGGGATCTATAGAATAAAAGAGGTAGCTTTCATTCAATGTTTTATAAATGCAATTCAAGAGTAAGGATCACATTCAATGAAGTAATAATGTAGGCCTCTAGCCCCTTGACTCTTACATTAAATATATATTAGTCAAACAACTCCCTTAAGAAAGGCTGATAATTCTTCTATTTTTCAATTTCTTAAACAGTGCTCCTTTTTGTAAATTTTTAACATGATCAATCTTAGACTCTTTCAGATTTAACTTATTTTTTTTCTGAAATTGAAAAGAAAAACAACCCAAAGGACTTCTCATACAGACATTAGCTGTGATGAGCACATTTCTGTACTTTCCTTTATTTGACTACCTAGTCCACAGCATTTTCTATTTCTTTCACCGCCATTTCTGTTTTTCCTTCCCAAAAACTTCATAATAGTTTCTTGACTTGACGAAACAAGAACACAGTTCAAGGTTTCCCACCACATTTATTTGACACTTTCTCTGACATTGTTGGATCCCCTCCCAATCTATATTTGATATTTACATTTCACAACCCATTATTAATTATTAGTGAAAATTAAGGACATAGAAGTAATTTTAATGATGAAAAACCAAAAGCAGATTCCAAAAAGCTAATCTTACTAATTTTTGGCTTTTGGAAGAAAAGCTGGCTTTTTAGCAAAACAAAAAATTAATTTACCAAACACATAAATTGGTTGTACCAAACCAAAAAGCCAAAAGCCAAAACCAAACAAGCCCACTATCAAAGTTCAAGATGAGTAATTTAAAGTGTGTTTGAAAGGTGGTAATAATTAGTAACTCTCCTTCTAGATCCATTGTCACAATATTCCATTGTCACAATATTCCATCCCCAAATACCTCGTCATCATAAATTTTCATAACCCTCACACCCACTTTCGAATTGTGTATGGAAATTTATTGAATACACACGATTGGGAAGGACTTTCATTTACTTTGTAATGGAAAATGGTTTTTAATACGGAGTATAAAACTACATACATATTTATTACTTCCCTTAGAATTTATGACCGGTTACCATGGGACATTAAGAGCTTTCCTTGTTTCAACTGTGAAAAAAATGTATTTTGTAAGTGGTCAGTCAGCCCCAACAACAGATCCCCTGTCTTCACCAACAATTACCCCAAAAAAAGCTACTCCCTCTGTCGCTAAATTACATTCCTCTTTCTAGCATTTATTCCTCACATAATAGAGAGAAAGAGGAATGTAATTTAGGGATTAAGGGACGGAGGGAGTACTTTAACAAGTAGCATTATGATTAACTAATACAGCTACATTACTAAAGCAATTCATTCTCATGCTGATATACCTCTACCCACACATTCATACAAGGTGTATATAAAACAGTGAGATCTTTGCCATGGCAAAGATTATGGGTTTGTGTATAATAGATCACAGGTTGAACCCCCTGTCATTTGTACCTTGTTGCTTATTTTGGACCACAAATAAATACTACTCGTAAGTAAGAGTCGTACGGAGTCAACAAAAATATACGTACTCTCCATTTTAAATCAAGTACAAGTGTCAGATCTTCATTTTGGGCCAAACGAGCCATGGTATATATTCACAAAATTGGTGTATACCCATGTCCGAATAAGATCAGTATATGATACCATTGATACTCTTAATTCAATTTACCCTGACATTCACTACTTTTTATTTATTTGTTTATTTATTTATTTTTTTTAAATAAACTAGTTTCTGAAATTAATATCTCAATGGTTTACAACATGAAAATAATCTTTTAAATAACTAAATCCATTCTTAAAACACCACTATGAACTAAAATTAGCATCAAATTGACAAATTTTAGAAAAACCCTTACATTCCAGCTGCGAAAAAACTCAGAACCCCAATATTTGCCAAAATTCGCAAAAGTTTATTTCAAATCATCATAACACATAATTTTATGTACTTCTATATGACAAACATAAGCTAGCTCAAGCACTAAAATAAATAAACTAAAAACACCATTAATCTATCATAATTAGCAAGATTTAAAATTAAACAAAAGAATCCAAGTAACAAGTGAGGGTGGGAAAGCATTTTAATTTAGTATGGCGCAATTCTCAATTCAAAGTTAAAATAAAAAATGGTTTTCAGTAAATAGTCAAAATTGAAGCCTAAAAATGGAAATTAACTAAGAAAAAATAAAGCGAAATTTAGGGAAAAAATTACCGAGAGAGCCGAAGGTAGAGAAATCAGCTGTTGAAGCAAAAGTTGTTTAAATTAATTGACATAAAAGATAACTTTGCTGATCGAGAGAGAATTGGAGTAAAAGATTAACCACGGCAACGAAGAGAAACACCAAACTTTAAGAAGCTATTGATTTAAGGAGTATTATTAATGTACTGGTAGAAAATATGACGGATTTCTGTTAATTTTATTCAAAAATGGACAATTTGAAGGTAGAGTAATTTTTACAGAGTAATTTGTAAGGAATAAAATTGTATTTTTTTTAATGTGACTTATGTGAGCAACTTTTTGATGCAACCACACCGTGTGGTAGAGGTTACCCAAATTATTTTGTTAGGGATTATCTGAGTTATTTAGTCAGGGGTTACTCAAGTTACTTGATCAGAGATTACTTGAAGGATTACTTGTTTAGAGATTACTGGAAAGGTTCGGTCATGGGTTAGTTAAGGGGTTACTTGGTCAGGGCTGGGTTTCCTTGAGCGGTTACTCGGTCAGGGTTGGGTTTCCTTGAGGGGTTACTCGGTCTGGGGTTACTTGAGGGGTTACTCGGTCAGGGCTGGGTTTCCTTGAGGGGTTACTCGGTCAAGAATAACTCAAGTAACCCCTAACCGAGTAACTTGAGTAACCCCGACAACTCAAGTAACCGCTAACCAAGTAACTTGAATAACCCCGGCCTGGCAACTTGAGTAACCCCCGACCGAGAAACTTGAGTAACTCTTGACCAAGTAACTTGAGTAACTCCGGCCCGACAACTCAAGTAACCCCAGACCGAGTAACTCGAGTAACCCATGTCGCATGGTCTGGTACAGCAGGCTGCATACAAAAAATTGTGTTTTAATGTGTAACTCTTAATCGATACATGATAATGTTATAAAAGGTAAACTTTTTTTTTTTTTTTACAAAATGTTATAAAAGTTAACTTTTATAGTATATAAGAGATTAAGGGTCTGTTCACATCTACTGAAATGAGTTGAACTGAATTGAATTGAACTAAAATAAAATGAATATTTTATGAGAGAAGGAAATTAAAAGCTGAACTGAAATGAAATTAAGCTGAAGTGAACAAGCCCTAAGCGTAACTTTAAAGGTAAAATTAAAAAATATAATAATAGAAACTTGAATTTTGTACTCCCTCTGCCCTATTTTATAATTTTTATTTATGTTTTTTTTACGGTATTTAAAGAGTGGATAGAGAAAATAATTTGAAAAAAAGTGAGAAATAGAATTATAGGAAAAAGTATGAGAGAGAAAGTGGAAAAAATTACTAGACAAGTGGAAAATTCAAGGGTAATTTAGAAAGTTCAATGAAAAAAAAAACTGATGAGAGTATAATGGTATTTACTTATTATCCAAAAATAGAAACAAAAATAATATTTTGAGTCTCCAAATAGATAAATGGGAACTATAATGTGGGATGGAGGTAGTATACAAGGGTAAATTTAACCCATTTTAGTTTGTAGTATAATTCTATAAAAGTAGTTTAAAATCAATTTTTTGGTTGTAATTTCAAATGTTAGGTGATTTTTTTTTTTTTTTTTTAATTTGAAAAAATAAACTTTGATGGTTGTAACCCGTAAAATGGTTACTTTAATCCATTGTAATTGGCAAATTTTCCATTGTATAAATTGTTTTATCCATATCCCTATCTTAAAAGTATGACTTTTGTAAAAATAAATAAATAAATATATATATATATATTAACTAAACACTTATGCTTTTTTAAATATTTATATACTTATTTACCCTTATATTGTATTTGTTACATCTATCTATACTTTATTAGTATTTAAAAACTATAACCAAGAAACTAAGAAAGACACATGTCCCCATCCATTCTATTACACTTCTCTAACCATAGTGCCACATGTCATCTTACACTTTTAATTTTTTATTACACCATTTTTTTAAATTCTTTCATTAAACTTATAGTTCATCTATCCTACACACTTCATCTCTTCATCTTCATCTCTCCCCTTTGATTCAACCTTTTCCTATTCTCTCTTTAATTTTGGCCCTTCCACCTTCTATTTAACTATTTAAGCCTCTTTTTCGATTAAAGTTCCAAAATTTTAATTTCTTTAATCATATTTCCGATTACATATTATACCCTATAATGACTTACTGATATTTCCTCACTTATCTATCAATACAATTTAATATGAATAACTCGTGCATTGCACGGGCCAGAAGACTAGTTTATAAATAGTAAGTGTTGAGACAATTGTGCTTCTTAATTGCTAGCTGTAGATTTGGCTTTTTTTTTTTTTGAAATTGAAGGTGACACATTAATGTATTTTAAATGGACACTACTAATCATCGTCTTTATCATAATCCATTCAGTTTACTTTAATTCTTTTGATACATGGCTTGAAAATGGAAGGCTAAAACTACTTATACAAACAAAAAAAAAAAAAAAATAAATAAAATAAAATAAATAAAAAAATAAAATGAGTAATTTTATTCTTTTAATTGGAATGTAATTGATACTACAAATGTTGAATAATTGTATTACAAGGTACTATTTGCACATGTTATCTTTCTTTCTTGCTTCTCATTACATGGGTCTATATCTTTATTTCTCTCTATATATCTCATTTTCTTAAAAATATGTGTACCCCCCACAGCCCCACCCATGTTGCATTGTAATATTAAGAAAACGGAGAAAATATGAGTACAAAACTTAGCAATTTATTCTGTAGAGATGACCAAATCCTATACAGGACAAAATGTTTTTATTTAGGCAAGGCAGAATAAGTTTTTAATTAATTTAAGCACTTACAAACCAAGTATAATAGTTCTATTTACTTCTTCCATTTTTCTTTTATAATCCATTCGTCAAGTATAAGCTGTGGAATGGAAGCCCATATAAACCTCCAATGTTGCGCCAACACGCTTGTCTTAGCGGCTTCTTGTAGTGTTAAACATTCTAGGATTCTATGCGTTAATTCCAGAGGCAAGTTGCTGATTCGATCAGCAACTATCTCACAACTTTTCTTCTTTATAGCATCCCCAACAACCACAGACATACTATCAATTGATTTTAGAAATGATGATTGTAGTTAAGCAAAGAAAACTTTTTTTTTGACGAGTAACTAAAGAGAATTTTTTTTTGAAGGAAAACTAAAGAGAACTTAATAAAAGGATGTTGTGAGATTATTGCTAGAGTTAGAAAAATTGAAGGGTTTGAGTTATGTATGGACTATTTCCAATAAATTGGAGTAGTGTTCACGATTACCATTAGTTAAATAGTCACACCTTTTCTCTTCAGTCTTCACTCATACTTGGCTTGAAAAAGTGTGATTATTTATTTTATGGAGCATTAAATTAAGGATAAACGTTTGGCTGATTGCATAGTAAGTTTGACTCATAATTGCATCATTTGACAATACTACGAAGTACTCCCTCCGTCCCAAAAAGAACGACCCATTTGACCAAAACTTTGTCCCAAAAAGAATGACCCATTTGCATTAAAACACCACCAATTTGCAACAATATTTGTGCAAAATTAGCTTCCCCATATAAAAATTTCATTTTCCATGTTATTTTTGTTAGGGGTCCAGCCCAAGTTATGGTAAAATGTTCATTATTTTTGTCTTCATGAATGGCCCAAATTGCATTACATTTTACTTAATATTATGAGTCCATCTTGGGGCTTATTTTTTGGTGGCTTGTTTAGCAAGATTGTCAAGGGTAATTCTTGCTAAGAGTGGCCAGCAAGTGCAGTAGGAGCAGTAGAACAAAACACACACAAAAGTGAGGGTTTTGAGTGAAGGTGGTCTTCGGATTTTCAGGGACAGCTTTCAGAGATTTGTCCGTCACCGGAAATTCCACCGTTGGATCGTCTCCAAATTTTGAAAGCGTACTCCTGACATCAAGGGCTTCATTTTGTACGGTTGGATCGTCGTTTTAAGGTCTGGTTTGGTCAGAATCTGCTTCGGACAGAACTGCTATTTTTTTGGGTGAATTATACTCTTTTGCTCTCTAATTTTGATCTCTTGTTGTTTGTTGTTTTTGGTGGGTTGTTAAACCTTTTGTAGACTGATTTGGGTTTATTTTACAATCAATAATCAATAACAGAAGCTAGGGTGGACTCCTTAAACGGTCCCGTGGTTTTTATCCTTCACATCGAAGGGGTTTTCCACGTATAATCTGTGTGTGTTGATTCTTGTTGTTTCTTCCGATTATTGTTGGTATTGTTGTTCATTTGCTACTGCCCTATTGCTTTTTACGTGTTGCTATATTGGTTTTGTGAGTAATTGGTTTTATTGGATTGAATTTGAGTTGATTGTCTTGTGTGTGACATAGTGGGTGTCGTAGTGACCCCTTTCCGATCCTTACAACTTGGTATCAGAGCCGGAATTTAATTTGTCACAGTATGGAGTCGACTAGTGGTAGTTCGATGGTTAAATTGACATCAACCAATTATTCAATTTGGAGACCTATGATGGAAGATTTGTTATATTGTAAAGACTTACATGAACCAATAGAAACAACCACAAAGACTAATGGTAGCATTGTTAAACCAACAAAACCTGAAAAGATGGATGATAAAGATTGGGTAAAGTTGAAAAGGAAGACTTTAGGGACTATTAGACAATGGATTGATATTAGCATATTCAACCATGTGTCACAAGAGTCCGACCCATATGATTTGTGGAAGAAACTTGAAGATCTTTATGAGAGGAAGACCGCTCATAACAAAGCTTCATTGATTAAGAAACTTGTTAATTTGAAATTGAAGGGTGGAAAATCAGTTTCTGAGCATCTTAATGACTTCCAGGATATTATTAACAAGTTGACTACTATGAAGATTGTTCTTGATGATGAATTGCAGGCTTTGTTCTTATTGAGTTCTTTGCCAGATAGCTGGGAAACTTTGGTTGTGACTATTAGTAACTCTGCTCCGAAGGGTGTGATATCATTGGATGTGATCAAAGAGAGCATGTTCAATGAAGAAATCAGAAGAATGGAGATGGGAGTTGATAATTCACAAGCTCTTGTTATTGAGAACAGAGGAAGAGGCAAGAGTAGGGGTCCCAAAGGTCGTGATAACTCAAAGAGTAGGTCCAAATCCAGTGATGGAAGAAATGTGACTACGTGCAACTACTGCAAGAAGCCTGGTCATATCAAGAAGTATTGTTTCCGTTTGAAAATGGAACAAAGAAAGAAGAATGATTCACAGAAAGAGGGAGATGATAAAAACACTGCAACAACAGCTTCTAAGAGTGATGATGAGGTCACTTTGATTTGTGCAACTAGTGAGTGTCATCATGTTGATATGTTGATAGTTCAGACACAGAGTGGCTCGTAGATACAGGGGCTTCATACCATTGTGTTCCCAGGAGAGAGTACTTCATAAACTACAAGTCTGGTGACTTTGGTAGTGTGAAGATGGGAAATCAGAGCTCAGCAAGCATTGTTGGGTTAGGTGATATTCGTGTGAAGACAAGTCTTGGGTGTGTGCTTACATTGAGGAATGTGCACCATATTCCAGATCTACGCCTTAATTTGTTGTCTGCTAATGTTCTTGATTTAGAGGGCTTCCAACATACTTTTGGTGATGGTAAGTGGAAGTTGTCTAAGGGTTCGATGGCAGTTGCTCGAGGCGAGTTGTGTTGCTCTTTGTATAAGACATACTTGACTGTATGTTCTGGTGAGCTGAATGCAGTTGAAGAGAAGAATTCTCCTAATCTGTGGCATCGAAGATTGGGACATATGAGTGACAAGGGATTGAAACTTTTAGCAGGTAAAGCATTGATTCATGTTGATAAAACTGTTTCTCTTGACCCTTGTGATCATTGTTTGGCAGGAAAGCAACATAGAGCTTCTTTTTTCTAGGAAGTCTACTAGAAAGCAAGGCAAGTTGGAGTTAGTACACTCCGATGTTTGTGGTCCCATTGAAGTTGAATCTCTTGGTGGCAATAGATATTTTGTCACTTTCATTGATGATGCTACTCGAAGAACTTGGGTGTATATGTTGAAGACAAAAGGCCAAGTGTTCGAGGTCTTCCAGAAATTTCATGCCATGGTAGAAAGAGAGACAGAAAGAAAGCTGAAGCGTCTCCGAACTAATAATGGTGGTGAGTATACTTCGAAAGAGTTCAAGCATTATTGCTCACAGCATGGCATTAGACAAGAGAAGACAGAACCCGGTACACCACAACACAATGGAGTTGCAGAAAGGATGAACAGAACCATTGTGGAGAAAGTGAGATGTATGCTTAGAATGTCTGATCTTCCTAAGACATTCTGGGCTGAAGCAGTTCAGTGTGTCGTGTATTTGATCAACCGTTCTCCATCATTTCCTCTTGGTCTTGACATTCCAGATAGAGCATGGAAGGGGTGTGATCCTTCATATTCACACTTGAGAGTCTTTGGATGCAAGGCATTCATGCATGTGCCGAAAGATCAGAGATCGAAGCTTGATTCCAAAACCAACCCATGTGTTTTTGTTGGCTATGGTGATGAAGAGTATGGTTTCAGACTATATGATCCTGAAAAGAAGAAGGTTGTGAGAAGCAGAGATGTAGTATTCTTTGAGCATGAGAAGGGTGCAGATCTTCTGAGTACAAGGTATACTCCTACTTCAGAATTGACTTTTGATACTACTGATGATGTTTCTTCTCCTATACCTCCTGTAAATCAGCCAACATATGAGAATGTTGAGGAGAATCATGAAGATGTTGGTGAGGTACAACCTGATGGTGATGTACCAGTTCATGATGAGGATGGTGTTCATGATGATGGTGGTGGTGTTGATCTTGACGAGTCTTCATCAGATGAGGAAGAAGTTCATGAAGAAGAGGTTCATGAGCAGGGGGAGCAGCCTACCCCTCAAGTTGAGGATACACAGGTTCTAAGGTCAACCAGAGAGCGTAAACCTTCAACAAAGTATCCAAGCTCAGAGTTCATTCTACTCACTGAGGATGGAGAGCCAGAAAACTATCAAGAAGTGTTGTCTCTTGAAGAGAAAGATCTGTGGCTCGATGTAATGAAGGAAGAAATGGAGTCCTTACAGAAGAATGAAACTTATGAGTTGGTGATGCCTCCCAAGGGAAAGAAAGTCTTGAAAAACAGGTGGGTTTTCAAGAACAAGAAAGATGGTGAGAAGATAGTGAAGCGCAAAGCCAGATTGGTGGTAAAAGGATGCAACCAGAAAAAGGGCATTGACTTTGATGAGATCTTCTCTCCTGTTGTCAAAATGACTTCTATCAGAACTGTGCTGGGATTAGCTTCAAGTCTTGATCTTGAGTTGGAGCAACTTGATGTTAAAACTGCTTTTCTACATGGTGACTTGCATGAAGAAATCTACATGGAGCAACCTGAAGGATTTGAAGAGAAAGGGAAAGAAAAGTTTGTTTGCAAACTGAAAAAGAGTCTTTATGGGATTAAACAGGCACCAAGGCAATGGTACAAGAAATTTGATTCGTTTATGACTAGTAATGGTTATAAACGAACTTTGGCAGATCCTTGTGTGTATATTAGAAAGTTCCCTGGAGGTAACTTCATCATCCTTCTTTTATATGTGGATGATATGCTGATAGGTCCAATATGAAGCATGCCAAGCCTGTTAGTACGCCACTAGCAACACATTTCAAGCTAAGTAAGAGAGCTTGTCCTACAACAGAGAAGGAGAAAGAAATTATGTCATCCATTCCTTACTCTTCTGCTGTTGGTTCTTTGATGTATGCTATGGTGTGTACTAGGCCAGATATCGCACATTCTGTGGGTTTAGTGAGCAGATACCTATCTAATTCGGGTAAGGCTCACTAGGAAGCAGTGAAGTGGATCTTCAGATACTTGCGTGGCACCTCCAAACTTTGCTTGTGTTATGGAGGTGGTAAACCTATTCTTGAAGGCTATACAGATGCTGACATGGCAGGTGATCTTGATAACAGAAAATCTACCTCAGGTTATGTGTTTACATTTTCAGGGGGAGCCATTTCATGGCAATCCAAGCTACAAAAATGTGTAGCATTGTCAACAACTGAGGCAGAGTACATTGCAGCTGTGGAAGCGGGTAAAG